ATGATGATGATGATGATGATGATTTAGTTGTGTTAGTAAACACTAACAGCTGATGGGTTATGCACATCCATTGCCAAAGGATCTTATGTCACTGTATTTAACATATTCATTTCATTTATAGTTTATTTAAATAGGGACACGTGTCAAGTATTAACAATATACACTACAACATTTATAGACAAAGGTGGTTTGCAATGCCCGTCCCTAGATGGGTTTTTAGCAACAAGAAATAAAAGTGTAACATACAAYTAAAAAAATAAAACATTACAATATTAAAACTCTCTCATAAACCTATTTAAAAGCAAATCATTAAAATGTGACAGTTATTCATGACTACAAAGCCAGTTTTAGGAAATGCTTCAGTTCTAATCTGAATTGGTTCCAGTCAAACATCAGTTTTAAATCAGTAGGAAGGTTTTAATTACTTTTGTTTGTTTAGTTTCCAAAAGTCTTTTAAAAAACTGTGCAGTGTAAAGCAAAAGGCTGAGAGAATTTATGCTCAGGATTGTGTTTAAAGTGGGATAACTGATGCTTTGAGTTGCATAGATAATTGTTTTAAACTCCAGATCAACCTATCCTTCTCACCTCTCTCACAGGAGCGTCCCAGGTAGCCGGTCCCGGAGCAGTCGCAGACGTAACGGTTCCAGCCCTCTCTGCAGACGCCGTTGTGCTGGCAGGGGTTGGACAGGCACTGTTTTGGAGGCTCTCTGGAGCACGAGGGCTTCACCCCGACCGCCCTCTGGGCCTCCGCTAGCCGCCGGATGTCTTTACTCTGGCCGTCGACAAAAAGGTCCCTGATGCAGCCRACGTAGCCGTAGTTCAACAGAGCCGTCCACACCTGAGAGACAAGTCACCAKCGTAGAGGTTTAACTGAGTTATTTCATTATCAATCCCTGCAGAAGGCAGAACAACCATGTTTTTGCCTGGTAGCAGCTAAGGTAGTTAACTGCTGAGATTTGGAACATTGTTTCAAGCTATTGGTGAACAATTCTAGGCTCGTCATAACACTTTGTAGAGCTTTGTTCCATTTGCACAGCCTGAGCAGAAAATAAAAGAAAAGTAAACACCAAAAACACATTTTCCATCCCTTCAGATCAATGGAAAATTTCCTTTTCATTAACATTTTTACTTGCTGCTTTAGAGTTAGACTTTTTAACAAAAAAAAAAAAATCAGAACATTATTTTAATATTGAGTTACTGGATTTAGTACTGGATGTTTAAATGTATCATGAGCTGAACCAATATTGTACATACTAGAAATGAGAATCAGTAGATAAACAGAGGATCTGACAAAAAATAATTGAAAATCCAGAAGTCATAACTCTCGACAAGGTGATGAGAGGAGTGGAGGCAGAGCAGCTAATTAAGAAGAAAGTATTGGACAGGAAGAGCAGGTCCATTTCTCTCTTTTATTAAGCAGCTAAAAGTGATGCTAAGGAGGAGGGGTGCTTTCTGTGAAGAGGAAAATGTTTTGCAGGTGAAGAGAAGGCGCTGCTTTAAAACAGTGTGGCTTTTGTCAGAACTATCACGGTTAATTCTGCCATTAATCACGTTCGAGAAATGTGCCACGAAGAAAAATATGTAGCATCAATCAGCTGCTGGTTAATGCACAGCTTAGAAAACAATGTATTCAGCACATTCCATGGCTTTTAAGATCCATTTTAGACTACCTTGTTTCATGGTATCAACGCAAGCGTGTTGCTTTATATCGACTGTATGAAATAAGCCGCTTTAGCTGCTGGATCTGAGCAGGGCATTTTGTGCATGTGCTGGCTTATGTGTGTTTAAATAGTCTGCAGACTGACTCAGAGCAGCAGTAATAGGTGTGAGCAATATTTTGCAGAAAGGATAATGACAAGGATTAATACTGTTTTTGCAAAAAAATCAATCTCTAAAATAATTAAAGTTCAAGAGTTTCTTGGAGAATTTTATATTGCCTTCTGTTTTTGTACCAAAGATCTGACCAAAAATTGTGAGAATCCTGAAATTATAATCATTTAATGTTGAAAAATGAATCAGTTAAAGCTAGTTTAACAGCATTGTGCACAATCTTTTGCTATCTCATCAAAATGTAACTCAATATCTGTAAAACTGACAAAATTACAGTCATTTTTTTCTCTTGGCTCTGAGCTTGAGCTGTGGCGGCCATCTTGATTTGGGTTGACACTAAAAGTTAAACCGCTGGAAATATATGTCAACCTATTTCTAATAGTTTTGATAATGTGGTTTATTAGATAATTAACACCACTGGGGTTGCCAGCTGTCCCGTATTAGCTGGGATGTYCCACATTTTCAGCCAAATTGAAGCTCTTTCTCCCGTATTCTGACGGCAGCCTGAAATCAGAACCATCATATTACGGTGGGCAGATTGGCATTTGTCTAGTGCCCCGAGCTGAAGSGGGTTCTGGAGGGATGGTACCAAAGTGGTAAAATGCAATGACCATATGAAACACTGAGTGCACTGAGGTTCCCCGTGACAGCCGACAGCAACGCAGACATTAGCCGCTTCATTTCCTMTGTTTAGTGAGCTTTAGCACAAGATCTAGCCTATTATTAGTGTGGTGGGTGACCATATATTTTATAATAAATTAATATTACAAAACTAAAAGCTGTCACAAATATATTATCAAACWACTWAATTGAAAACATGGATGAAATAAGACAYCTGAAACATAGAAAATGCATAAAAATATGTATTATAGTCCATTTTTTAAATAAATTAGTTTTTGAACAGTTGTTTTCTGAAGTGRTAAATACTTGTAAGGTTTGAAAGTCACAACGACATGTTTATRTTTACATTTCTCCTGTTTACTGAGGTCATTGGGAGCTGAAAAGTAAAAAAAAAACATTGTTTTGACTAAATCATTACAWGGAAATAATAGAAATAAGATTCGATCTTTTTAGGTGGAAACTTAACTGTTGGGRAAATAAAAAGCATTGTGCAATGACATCACAATTAACACATTATGTCATTAAGCCCCGCCCCCGGCAGATATGTTCAAAATGTGGAGGGGCTGAGTTGGCAACCCTAAAAAATGCTAAACACAGACAAACAAACAGGCAAAATTATTATTGCCTTTGTTGGAGGAAGAAAATCAAAATCCCACATAAAATGTTTTTTTTTAAATTATATTAAAAATATATTAATATATTTTATTGGCAGATTCCTGAGGTTTTCTGTTTGGACAATTCAAACCAAACAAAGCAGATGTTTTACAGTTTTGTGTTAAAAAGRTGTCACTTATTTATTTTATTTCTTATCTAACCTCTAAAAGTAGTTCTGAAATATTYGTAAAAATGGGACACGGCAGAAACACAAACCTCCGTGGGGAAGATGAGTCCAGCTCGGTCCTCGGGAAGCCCTCCGAGGTACAAGGTGTCATCCAGATCCAGGATCTCGCTGTCTCCCGGGGCTGTGTACGCCGTCCTCACGCTGTTCACCGAGATGGTCCCTGAATGCATCAAAACAACCTTAGAAATCGCTCTGACCTTCGGCTTGAACATCCTCATCACAGTCATCAATGCCATCAACACCAACATTATAACCGCCGTCATCGTCATCATCCTTTCTCCTCTTCCCTTCCTCCTCCTTGTCCTCACCCACACATCGTTGTTATAATCAGAAGCAACTGAAATCCTAAAGTACACAGGCTTTAGTCATCACGTAGTGCCTTTGAAGCCAAGGTGGGCAGTAATTTTCCTGTGCTCAGAGGAAAAATTCAATAATAACCTTTCAGGGTATTGTAAATGAAAGAGGTCTGAGATGCGGATAAAATCGTCATTTCTGTTTTCCAGCTTTAGAAAAACGCCACTCACTGTGGGAGACTTTGTCCATTCGGGTAATTTTTAGACCAAATTAGCTAAAACAGCAGTGTAAAGAATACTAAAAGATTGGGACAATGAATAAATAGGTTAAACAGAGGACCCTGAGGGTTTGAGCCGTGCCAGTGACGCCATGTTTTAGTGCATTCAAAGCCCTTTAAAATGCTAAGATGGAGAGCTGGCACTGCAACAAAGAGCTTCGTTTCTCTTGTTTTATTTCTAGATTTTTGCAAACTCCAGCTGGTTATAAAGCACTACATTTAACATTTTGTCACAAAAAAATCATCAAATTGCTTATTTTTAGACATTAATACAGTTACAACTTTCAAACAAGACCCCTATTGAGAACACTGGCAGCATCTACTGAGGGCTTCTAAACTATAATTAACACAGAGGTGGAACAATAAGTATATAAGCAGCACATTTAACACAACACAAGAGCAGGCGGATGAAAACAAATGTGCACTGTGCCACTACTTTGAACAGAATAGAAGTCGTAAAAGTATTTTTCATATATCTACTAWCAATATCCTTCTCACGAAGCATTATTTGTGAAAAATGTGGYGATAATGCTGAATAGAATTAAAAGAAGTGTCTGCAGCTACACTCTCAGAGACTCCAGATTTGACAATGAATTTGTCAGTGGTTCTTTATTGCGTTGAAGTGTTCTGTATAAAGCTTCTAACTTAAAATTAAATGATCTCATTTTCACTTATAAGGCTGAGTATTCCTTCCAAGAATGCTTATCACCCACTACCTTTCCTGCCAGAGTTTTAGACCAAGATCATCTTATTATAATAAATATAAAATAAAATTCGCGAGGGGGGAGGTTTCACCTGAGCGTCCGTCTCTCTGGAAGTCAACATGGTACCATTCTCCATCGTTGACCTTTCTGTCAATGGCCTTGGTCTTAGTGGTTCCTGAGCCCATGTCCAGCAGCAGGTATAGATGCCCATCCAGCATTTCAATGGCAAAAAAATCCACCTGCGTGTTTAACACACACAGCATCAGCGTTCTGAACAACACACAGAGCATAAATTTAAATAAGACAAAAGTTTTAGTGTAGTTGCTGGAATAGGACTCCCACTTTGTTTAGTTTAACATTTAAAAAYGTGCTTCAGATTCCTTAAAGATGCCACTATTTGGAGCTGAATGAAGGTTTCAAGCTTACAGGACTGATAATTATCAATCAGAATTCGATTGTTCACAGAAAAATGCGATAATTATTTAATTTTAATTGAACAGAAAAAATGGTTTAAAAAAAGCAGCGCAAAAGTTCAATTTCAAAACTCATTTTGAAGAGAAACAGCATTAAAAGTTTCCATGAATTTTGAAGAGCTATTTATGGCTGTAWTATGTCCCAGCCTAAAGATGGTTCTGATGATTCTGCTGATGTCTTTCTTTTAATTAAATGTTAAAATGGCCACTTGTTAGATTATATTTGCACCGGTCTCACTTAAGATAACTAACTTAGGGACCTTATTAGCTTCAGATTAACTGCTGTCGAGTGCTAATTGTAAGTATTTGTGCGTTTTGGCTACTTTTTAAAAATCCTCTGTGTTTATATTTTGTCCCTTTTTGGTCACAACATTTCTGTAGTTTATGATTCTGATGTTTAGTTCTGGTACTTTTGTTTTCATTTGATCAGTTTTCTGACCTGCCCTGTGTTTTCAGACACATCAGTTGAGTTTTCCTCTGTGTAGCTCCTGCTCCTCGGTCCAGCCACGCCCACTCTCARCTGTGCCCTGTTTCATTTAGCACAGCTGTTCCTTATCTCTTTTGGCTCAGCCCATAAACACCTCTCTCTGTCTCAGCTTCAAATTCAGTGGAGAAAGTAGCCTTTGTAGCCGCTAAGGAAAATTACTTTAAATACGTGTTTTTTTTTTTAATATTTGTCATTTATTTAGTCTGAAAAAGGGCCTCATAAAAGCTTGAGGTTTCAATTAACAACAAATTACATAATGCCTTGTGAAAAGTTAATGCTTATTTGTGTTATTGGTTTGTTTAGTCCTTTCAAAAAAAAGTTTAGCTTTTTTTGTCTCATCATTATTTATAAACTTGGARCCACATCTGTCAAGAGTACAAGTATAAGGGATTTCTTCTCTTTTTGTTTAAGCATCAAATTGCAGACGAATATGTGCAAGAAAGCTATTTTACAAGCACCTTTTGAGRATTCCAGCACTGAATCCTCTGAAATGAGTTTAGGTGGAACATACTTTTTATTCTGGTTGCACAAAAAAGGAATGCATTCACTTTTCTTTCCTTTGAGATTCTTTTATAAAAATATACATTTTTCACCTTGACAGTGGGAGGCGTGCGTGGATCTTTGCGTTGCATTTGTCTGGGCTTGCCGTGGCTGAAGAGCATCAATCCGTTCGGCTCTGTGGTTCTGAAGTCAAACGAGATGGATCCTGCCTTCTTTGCCGTCCACTTGCTCAGCGCTACATATGACTCTGGGGTGTCGAAGGTCACTGGGTCCAGCGTTGCTACACTCTCGCACTTGAAGGACACCACGCCACTAACCTGGGACAGAAACGGTAAGAGTTTTCAGCATTTAAAGGTTTGGGCTGTTGAGACTCTGCTGTGAAAACCAAGGCTTAAAATGTCCTGATGCATCTCAGTAATCCAGGTAAAAAATCAAAAAGAAAAAAATTGTACAGGTCTTCTGGACGGGTTCTTCTCTAAGGAAACGTTTCGTCTCTCCTCCAAGAGACTTCTTCAGTCTGAGAGTTTCAGGCAAAATTCAGGCTTTTAAGCACTGCCTCCATGTGACTGATACTCACATCACGCGTTTCGGAGAAACTGAGACATTTATTTTCTAAATATGATATCCCAGTGGCTTTCAAACCACAAAACACATTACGGCAAAGGCTGGTTCACCCCAAAGATCCRGTKCCCCGGCACAAACAGAGCAATGTTGTATATGCTGTTAAGTGCCAGGAGGACTGCGACCAGTTATACATAGGGGAAACAAAGCAGCCACTGTTCAAAAGAATGTCCCAACACAGACGAGCTACATCTAATGGCCAGAACTCTGCAGTTTTCACTCATTTACAGGCCAGCGGTCACTCTTTCAAAGATGAGGATGTTCTCATTCTTGATAGAAAGGAACGTTGGTTTGAGAGAGGAGTAAAAGAAGCCATTTTTGGGAAGAAAGACCGTCCATCATTAAACAGAGGTGGAGGCCTCCGTTTTCAGTTGTCCCCCTCCTACAGCGCTGCTATTGCCAGTATCACTCCACCCCCTGTTAACAATAGGTGTTAATTAGGTGTCAATGATAGCCATGTGATGTGAGTATCAGTCACATGGAGGCAGTGCTTAAAAGCCTGAATTTTGCCTGAAACTCTCAGACTGAAGAAGTCTCTTGGAGGAGAGACGAAACATTTCATTAGAGAAGAACCCGTCCAGAGACCTATACAATTTTTTTCTTTTTTCAAGGCTTAAAATGCTTTTATTTTGTAGTCTGAAACTCAAGTCAAGCCAGTCGTAGTAAAAATGTAAAAGTCATTGTGTCCATGTTCTGCATGTATGCTAAGTAGATTATGTACAGTACTAAAGCTGTACAAGTTGTTGAACGTGAATACCTTCATTTTTGGGTCTCCCTGTTTAGCAAGTCTGGACAGCTCCAACCGTACGTCGTTGTTCTTGTACACCACCTTTAGGGGAGGAAATGGAGGAAAAAAATAACAAAACTTGAACTTGGCTTTCAACTTTRAAAACCAATAATCTTCCAACACAGAAAACATTTTTATTTGTCTGTTCAAATGGTTTTTGGTATTTTCCTCCAAAAGCAGCAACCTTAAGATCATTGAGCCACTTGATGCTCATCTTTTGAAGCATCCTAACTGACCCTGCCATTTTTATGAGCGTTTTTGATTTTCTTCACTGTGTTTCTCCTCTCTTTCCTCTCCCAGACAGCCTGGGCTATAACTGAGTAGCTTTGGAGTCAAATGTCTGCTGAGACGGGCACACACAAGATCTTTTTTTTTTTTTTGGACAAGATAGACTTTTTGGCATGACTTTTTGAAACAGCAATCCTGCAGCTCTTTACCTCTGTTTTCTCATTTATAGTTTGTCATGCGCTTAAGGGTCACTTTGTAAAGCAGCTAAGGTGACTTGAAGACATTAACTCCTGTAAATTGGTATGTTTCTGAGTGCAAGATTGTGCCTCCGGCAAATCAAATGCACAAAATTGTTCGAGCCGTGGCTGTTCATGCATGTGATTCTCTGCATACATCTTAATTTGCCCACCCGGATTATCATATCTTCGTATTAAATATGTTAATGTGCCCGTGGAGGGTTCACTTCGACTATGGCAGCCTTGTTTAAACACCATCAGTCTTAATGAAGCAACACAGAGTGCATTCACCGCTGATACAGATAGCTCTCTGTTTGGCACATCATCTGTCGGCTTGTTAGGTTGTTTGTTTATGTCTCTGTGTGAATCCGTGTGAGTGAAAAGGAAGCTCAGCGCCGTCAATGAACACAAGGATGTATAAATTTAAGCGCTTGATATTCAAAGGTGTGCTTATTTGGTTTTGATCAGCCTGAGTATCTGCGTTTTTTTTTTCTTTTCTTTTTGTGGGAATATGTCTGCCAATTTCCTCTATACACGCCAAGATTGCATTTAAGTGTGCATGTGTGTTGTTGCGAGTGTGTCAGGTGAGTTTTTGCTGCTGCAGTGCTGTGGCCTGTTTCAAGCAGAGCGGATGGATGGAGCATCTCTGTGGCGTAGCTAATTAGCATGTTAGTGCTCAGCACTGTATCTTCTCCCTCAACGACACTCATCACTGATTCCGTCTGATGCTGGATGGGATGTGCGTGTCTGGGACTGTTTGTGTGAGTCTGCCAAATGGAAGATTTTGTGTGTGTGTGTGTGAGCATGTTATAAAATAGTGTGTGTGTGTGTGTGTGTGTGTGTGTGTGTGTGTGTTGCGTGACTAAAAGAAAGGGAGGAAAGTGAACAGAAGAAAAAAGGAGAGTGTGGAAAAAAAACACGTAGAGGTCCCTGCAGTTTTTCATTGTTTGGGAACTGAAAACAGCAAGAACCAATTTACGAAMGCTGCCRTGTTGTATTTTTGGAACCGTAGTCTGAGATGTGGGGCTTTAAGTCCAGCTACTGAAAGTGTGAAACCAGTTATGTTTGYATATTGTTCTTTTAACCATATTGTGTGACACAGTTTGTTTTCTCTGTGCAGTCCTCTCTGTGTTTTATATATTATTTAGCATGGCGGCTCACCTCTTTGAGACAGCCCATAAAGTTGTTGCTGACAGGAGAACCAGGCAGGTCAGCAGTGCTGGGACTTCCTCCCACGTAGAAGAAGTCATCAGAGCCCAGCATGGTGTAGTCCTCCTGTGTGTAGCCCGTTGTCGTCAGGATTCCATCCACGGAGATCGTCACCTACACAACAAAGCACAGGGAAAGGACACGCTATATACTCAGACCAAAGGCAGCGCTAAGCGCTAGCTATGCGCTGACCAGCCAAATTAGCCCCCGGTATTCTAAAAACTAATGTATATGCATTCTGTTGGATAGAAGCCAGATTGGTTTTTGGAAAAATGGATCATGTTGCTGCTGTTGGGACTTTGATTTTAGTGCATTTGCTGACTGTGAAGTGTAACTGAATAGTGCTGATTGTTGCTGGTAATGCTGAGACTAAAAATATGTTTCTAGACAATGCCACTCCATATCACTCAGTCTCCCTGCAGCTCGTAACACCCTCAATAATCCTGTCTACCCCCTGTGCACTCTGGGAGTCAAACTGTGTGTGGTTTGGCTTGTAAATAGCAGGCAGTTCATTATACAGAATAGTGACTAGATCCAGTGGGTGATTAATTTGGATTTGATGAAACCCAGAGCGTCAGAGTGTCCAATATCGGCTCGCGACAACATAGGTTGTAAAAACTGGGTCTGCATACTCCTCACGTCATGAAAAGCTWCGGTGTTTGTGCAACTTTAGAGCAAATAGCCTTGCTTGTCTTTTGCTATTGAACGTTTTCAACATCATTTATTTATTTTTTGTTTTCAACCTCCAAGCTGCTTTACAGCTTAGGTTAAATTAAAAAAAAACATCATCTTCTCCTCGATGCTTTACCTAGAATGATACTGACGTTCCTATAATTAAATTAGCCCATTCTGCTGTGTAATGGCCTCTGTCGGGGCTTTTAGCTGTCACAGAGATCTAATGCTGTCACACGTAAAGTTGCAGTTAGTTTTCACTCAGATCTTCGCCGGGACATCACTGACCACGTCTCTGACCCCCACTACAATACAGTTCCCTCTCTCTAGAAGCGCCAGGCAAACGTGCCCAGCCGAGCAGGTGTTAGTTAGGTCTTCACAGGCATCTTCGTGCTGCACAGTTAAGTGTTAGTACTATTTACTTTGTTAGTAGTTGTTAGTTGTAGCACTGCTTGCTGCCAAAGTGGTGTTACTTGTGTCAGGCCAAGCTGTGCTGGGTTGCTGAGGTAAGGGTTAATGGTTTCAATGCTGTTAGTAGTTGTGATGATATGTTAGTGTGTTGTTAGGGTGAGTTGTGATGATGGTGTTGGTTAGTTTGTGGTCTGAGCAGGGGGTTTGTTGGATCAGCGAGCCTAAATGAGATGACACACAGATATTGATGAGCACACACATACATGTATTAGATGGGCGTAGGTTCATTCCGATACACACACACACACATATTTAAGCATGCGACCTGTTCCTCTGTCTGCATGCAACCACTGGCAGAGAGGAGACTAAAAACAACAACAACAACAAATTGGACAAGATGACTCAGAGGCGCCACAAAGAACATGCATGACTAGAGTGTAGGACAAAGAATCCAAAAGAAGAATAAAAAAGAAGGGGGAGAAGGAGCCTCTCAATCCATTCTGTGGACCAATCAGAGAGGGGAAGGGTTTCTGAGTCAGGCCATGCAAGGGGGGGGTGGGGGCTCGACACTTGCGTGCATGTGAACTATGAGCCAATCTGTGCACGCCTACACGTCAGTCACAGGGTGATGGGGTGAAAGGAAAAACAAAAACAAAACAGTAGAAATAGTGAAGGGAAGGGGACTTTTTAAAAAAAGTGGTTGGCAAGGATGAGGGACAGGGGCTCTTTAAGCGTAAGAGATTACCAACCGCATTTATCCTTTTATTGGTTTAGTTTTGATGTCTATGGTTCAAAAGGAAATAGACACGGGGAAAACCCAAACTAAGAAACAATTAGAATGATATCTACCGAACAATGGAGTTTGTTTACCATAGCGTGTCCAATGCCTGAGTGCTTTGTAGGAAAAGGGGGAGAAAGGAAAGCAAAAAAAACTGTGAACAGAACAACTTCGGGAACAAAAAAAAAAAGAGGAAAAGCTAGAAGGCCTCTGGTGAGATTAGTAGGTTGGTTGGAGTGGTTTTGCTAGGAAAAGGGCACAGGTTAGGTTAGTAGAATGAATCATTCCATGGATGGTGGTTAGTTTCACTAGCAGGTTAGTTAAGTTAGTAGTCACGTTAGTACAGACAGGCAAACGGTTGAGGAAGAGCACAGACAGCACCTGCGTGCTTCCGATCCCCGTTGCAATCTTCTTGTTCACGCTCTCCTTCTGATTCATTCACACGCTCATTCATAATCACACACTCGATTTGAAAAGCACTCACCTAGAGCTGAAAGCAGAGCTGGTCTGGTGGTTAACCCACTGTAAACTAAGATCAAAACCTCAGGAATTTTCTCACTACCACAGCTGAACAACAGTCCACTGACGGCAGCTTCTACATTGATTATTTTCCTCCAGCGGACTTTAGTCTGCCCTTCATCTGCAGCAGTCTACATGGTTAGCCAAAGTCAAACAGACACGGGAACTGCCTCAACTAGCAAACATTTCCTTCAGATGCAGCTGTCAAGCATTTCAAATGGAAAAACAAAAAGATCATTTAGTGTAAACCTCTACACTCTTTATTGCCTCTGTGTTTTCTTGTGCTCAGAAGGGAAAAAAGCTTTCTTTTCAGAACATAGTCAGAAAATTACTACATATTTTTCAAACACAAAGGGGATGCCTTCTAATCTAGACTTTTTAACCTTACTTTTATATAAATATATTAAAATCCTAAATTATTAGGCTAAAAAAAGAAAGATTTTAGCATTTTATTCTTCAGCTGAATTGTAGGGGATTCATTTTAACAATAAAATACCTACTCATTCACTCATTCATAATCTACTTCCTGTCTTTCAYCTCCTCTCCTTTCTGCTCGGACCATCACTCCTCTACGCCTTGTAGTCTGGTTACCTGTCTCAGGTTGCGGGTGACTTTGACGTCATGCCAGGCGTTGTCGTTGAACTTGCCATTGACMGGCTCCACCAGGGCCTCGAAGGCCCCGGAGCCCAGATTAATGACTAGGGACACGGCACCGTTCTTTAGTGCCAGGTTCACGTAGTCAGCGGACTTGCCCGTGTGCAGCATCAGGCCGTTGCGCTGCAGGGTCTTGAAGGACAGCGTGATTTCGTCGCTGCTAGACTGGATGGGGTTGGGCGACAAGTCGTAGCAGAAGTACTCGGAGCCCTTGAAGGTGGCAACGTACTCCTCACGGGCTGAAACGAGAGGAGAGCAAATAAGTTTTAATAAMCGTTAAAGCTGTCGTTGAACATTATTCTAATCATTAGTACATTATCTAAGCTACGATGCTTCTTCCCACGCTGCTCCTCACAAACAGCTCAGAAATGAAAATGGTGGGTGTTCATCAGAGCCAGTCGAGTAAAACAAATCTCAGCTGGCTGGTTCAATTTGATTCCAATGTTCGGTACAAAAAAAAAACATATTTTTTAAGATGCTGAAAATGTTGTTATTGTCAAGCAAAGCCTCACTGATGCCAGCACTTGGAAGAAACACTTCCTTCAATACCTCTAATCGCACCATGGAGTGGTGAGTAAACAAGCTTTGATCACTCATGTGGGTTAGAGATTAAACAGTGAGGATATGAGAGAGAGAGAGAGACGACTGTGAGCGTGGAGCATTCCTAACTCGTTACGAAACCTGCCACCTTCTCTTTTGAGAGAACAGCTGTGCTGGCAGTCTAAAAGTGATGTGGTCTTGTTTGACAACATGGCTCATTTCACGTGGTTTGCAAAAAAAAAAAAAGCCAGGATGTACATGCCGGAGTAAGTATGCACACTAGGAGCAGAGGTTGGAAGGAGTTTGAGGAAGCTGGCACAAAACTGACAATGGAGATGGAGAACGGCAACCTGTGAGCGTCACGGCAGCCAAAGCAGGCAGAACCAGCCAATTGGAATTCAGAGGAACAGGCATCCGGCCAATCGCAACTTACCTTGCACGGTCTTTGTGACCCCCAAGGACATTAGACCAAGGTTTTGCAATTCATCATACTTAAGCTCACATTTACTTATCTGCTCTCACACCTACGCACATCAGCACACAACCGGTGGAGGAACAAATACGCACACCTACACACAAATCTGCGTAAAAAAAAATCATACCAATACGATGGCATAAACAAGCACGGACAACGTTATCTGTCTCCTTCACAACCAGCACCCCCCCCCCCCCTCCAAAGCATCACCCTTCCTCTGCATCCGCTTCTGTGTCCTCCTCAGCAAGATCCCTATATCTCTCACACCTCCTTACTGGCCTCGCGCCACATTGTTTCCTCTCCACACATCTTGCTGGCCTCTTTTATTATTTTTTTTACCCTCCTTCTCTTTGCTCCGCGGAGCCTCTGGCAGAAACCACCATCTTGTAGTTCGGAATAACGAAGAGAACAGAGGAGCATTTAACGCGCACCAGGTGAAGCTGGAGCAAGACAGCCGGCTGGTGAGGAACTGTTGGAGAGTAGAGGACAGAAAAGATTGCCACGTAATAAATAGACTGAAGTGTAATAGGTTATTAAGGTGGCGAGAAGCAGGAAGAAAAGGAGCGTTGAAATGGAATTGGCTGCACTTGAGTGAATATAATACAAAGAGAATAATGAGAAGGAAAAAGTGAGAATATATCACAATTCAAAGGCCAATTGTGGTAAATTGTCTTTTTTTGTTTCTGCTGCAGAAAAATAAAAAAAAATCTAAGTGTGAATGCCAATATACGAGTGAGAAACAACACGTTGTTTGCCAGCATGTGTGCGAGTTCCTTCAGTGTGTGATTCCTTCCCTCCCAGCATGTTAATTAAGAGTGTGTGTTTGTGTACGTGTTTGTGTGTGCGTGGCTGCAGAAGGGAATTACTGTGCGCAAATCTACATTTAGGCGTTTGAGAGTGCGCGCGCAGGGGAAASTATATGTTATCTTACGTGTGCATGAAATGTGTGTGGGTGTGGGTGGGTGCTGGTCTCTGTAAATATTGGTGTATTGCTGTCAGAAAAGCTATTACCAACTCAGGGCCTCGGGCTAGTCTTTACTGAGAGGAGCGAGAAGGAGGAGGAGGGAGGGAGGCGCACACACACAAAAACACAGACAGAAAGAACAGTCACAAATGTTAACAAAATCACACATATTCTTCACACACACAAATGTAGATGAGGTGCCAGGGAGAAGAAGAGGAGGGGGGTGGGGGCAGCTTGTTCACAATGAGAACACACACAGGCGTCCAGTAGCATTCAAGTGGTAATTTACTGAGGTGCCATTAGGCTTCAGTGTGGCGCTCCACCATTCTGTTGTTAATTTACAGACACGTCATTAGACCAGACAGGAGAACATAAAGCATCTCTGCATCGATCTGGAAGCGCCGGCCCACAAACACTCGCTCCTTGTTCTATTACATCACACACGAACGAGCATGCACAAATCAGACGTAAAAAAAAAAAGAAGAAGGACCGTATGTTGTGCGTTCATACTGCAGGGGCACCGTCACACCGAAAAACACAAAGGACCACGAAATGTGCAGGTTGGAGTGGATCTGTTGTAGCTCAGATTAATGGAGTGAGTCAGTATTGGCTCCGAGTAAACACTGAGGCAGACACACCGCATGTCACACTTCATCCTGTGGGAAGCACTGTCCATCAAAGGAGGGCAGTCGGAGAACAGAGGAATACAGTTGAGGCGACAAAGACACTTGGATATTTTTTTCAAAAGAAAAGGAATTCCCCTGATATTATATATATATATATATATATATATATATATATACATACATACATACTGTAAATAACTGAGTTTCTGTCGGGGTGTGGTTGGACCTGAGGCCTTTCTGGCATCTCTTGGATTCATCTCCCACAAAACAGACCCTGATCTTAACAATACAACTGATTGGATTAGGTTAAATGAATAAAAGAGATAAAGCAGTCGCTCAAACTGAGTTACTGCATCACTGGAAGGCTTTGTTAGAGTGTAACTGCTTTTTGGTTGTTCGACTTTATTTTTAAATCAACCAATTTGGCAAACAAAATCCAACCTAAATTCTAACGTTGTCAGGCTTTTAAAATGTGAAGATTCAGATCTTTTCTGTTTTATGTTGTATAGAGTTGATGTCTGGAATAAACAAGCCAAATAAGGGTGTTTTATTTTTCCAATTATGAAAAGCCTCATTTGAAACCTAAACTAAACGATTAACTGCATAAAGAAATACTTGCAGGTAAGCTAACAAGGTCTAGCTGCAGCTGTCTTTAACAAAACAGCAATTTATTTTATTAATTAGCCTATGATTTCATTAAAACAAGAGCCCACACACRGCTTAACTTGATGTTGACATACAGTTTTTTATTCTTTCTGACACTTATTAATAACAGATGCGAAGAACCTTTAAATCTAATGAAAACTGGAAAGATTTGATGAAACATTTCGGCACCACGTAGTCCCTCTGATGCACCTGTTGCTTTTTCAAATGAGCAAATAAAATGTCATCATTAACTTGCGATATATGTTTACTGTGTTGCTAAATACAGATATTATCCAAACCAAATGACACTGAAAGTCACTTTTCCCTGTTATCAATTGTAAACTCCAAACCAAAGTGATGAACCAGGATTGCGTTGACATGGAAAAAATCTTAATAATGATAATCGCAGCTACAACCAAACCCAATATTAGCACAAAATCTTAGATTGTCTGAGTTATAGCCATTTCTACATTGGCTAATGTCAATTAGCTGGGGTGTCCATCTTTAATTAACAACACTTCAAAAGGTAATCAGTCGCAGTGATTGCTTTCTGAGAGTTTCATTAAAACCTGCCCAGTGACCACTGATTTTGCTAACAGACAAACAGGGTTGACTGCAGCAATTAATGCAAAAACCTTAAAGGGGCAATATCATGTAAAATCAACTTTTTTGAGTTTTATATCATGTTATAATGTTATACTCTCATAAAAAAAACATGCCCAAAGCCTTGCTTTGACTTATTCATGAATGTTTGAGAAATCCTGCAGCGTTTTTAGGCAGCCATGCTGAGGAGCAAAACGACAGGTGGGGATTAGAAACGCCCCCGTTTGAGGAAATGTATTTTCAGATGCCAAGTAAACTGCATCATAGAGCACGCGCGACCCCCCGCACTGAAATGGGACGGGACAGAAGCGAAGGTGGTTCTTAAAGAGACAGAGGCCAATTTCAAGGCGTTTAGAAGAGGAAGYGATGAGAAGATAAGTTYATTTTCTATTTAAACATAAACACAGCATTTTAATAACAACTAAAGGTGACATAGATACTTTATTATGGTATAGTATTTAACTGTTTGCCTGAGAAACACATAATATTGGCCCTTTAAGCAATCTGTTAGTGTTCAGAATATGTGTTGGGGATTAGCCATAGCTATTACCACACCAAATTTTAGGCCAATATCTGTAAAATTAGCTGAGTCATAGCCATTCCTGTGCTGAGATCAGCTGGCTGGAGCAGCCATCTTGAATTGGATTGACTCCACAAGGATATTCAGTTTTAGACGAACACTCAATTTCTTTTACACATTCCTGTAAATACAGGCTGTTCTAAATGACCGCATAAATAAACTGTTTTCATTTTTGTGAGAAAAAAAGAGAAATGGTTTAAGAGAAAAAAATGAAACTAGAGAGAGCGAAACAAAGCGAGGAATCTGTGCGAGCTGTGTCAGATAAAATACGTGAAACCCGTGCAAATGAAATAAAATATGAGCTCTGAAGGCTATAAGAGGAGCGGGAATAAGCTCATTCAAAGATGATTGGCATTAGACCTTGAAAGCTGTCATTAAGCTGCTACTTTTCTGAATAAAGTAATCTGGGGGGGGCAGGAGCCAGAATGACAGATCTGATCTGGGACCAGCTGCAACTGTACCTCGCCATCAAATAATCGAACACACATCATGTAGATTTTCCTCGTGTGTTTGGGCACATATGGTGTGTGTGTCATTTAGRGCTTTGTCTCGTCTCCTGGGCTTCCTCCTCAACATTTCACATACTAATTTGTTATTTCCATGGCAACCCCGTGTCACAGGGGCTCCAGCAAATACAAGTGCTTGTGTCTTTTAGGGAGGGAGAGAGAGACAGGAAGAGAGCTGGAGAAGGAAAGCAAAGGGAGAGAAAGAGTGATTGAGTGAACAGTACATTATCATGGACAGCTGTACTGAATCAAAATGGCGGATGGAGGCTGGGTGCACATCAGGGGAGCCTTCATTATACA